CTTCCAAAACCATTACTTAGAGCGGCATTGGGCGGCGCGGTCAGCACTGCCAGTAGAGGTTTGTGCGAGAAATTTGGAAAACAACTGTGGATTACTTCTAAAATAATTGTTCGATCTTCACCGCAGATTAAATGTGAATCCTTTTCAAAATTTGTGAATTATCAAGTGATAAACGCTAACCTTCGGCACCACAAGTGGTGGTGCAAGAGCAAAATCAAGTGGATCTGTCGCAGCATCAGCAAATGCAAGTATTCTAGCCATCGGAGTCAGGTTATGTCCATTTATAGCGTCTTCGCTAGCAAGTAGTACAGCTGCGGCACCATCATTTAAAGTTGATGCGTTGCCAGCAGTAACCGTTCCATCTTAGAAACAAAAATAATGCGATAAATGTCTCACCATAATTCAAACAGAAAAATTACAAAACTGAAAAGGAGGATACCCTTTTGAAATACGGTTTTCAGCTGCTTTATCTTGTCGAAGTTGATTTTCAAGAACTCTTCATCAGTATCTACAACATTTTCGCCCTTCTTGGTTTTCACACTGACAGGTACTATCTCAGAAGTCATAATCCCGTTCTGGAAATGAGTGCATACTTCAAAAGATACAATCAAGTTTATTTCAAAAACCTTCCAAGCAGCGGCAGATTTCTTATAACTTCCAATGGCGTACTCATCTTGTGAATCTCTGCTGATTGCAAGTTCCTTGGCAGTTTTTTCCCCACAGTTACCCATATGGCACTTATCATAAGCATCTGTAAGTCCATCCTTCACTATTCCATCCTAGAAATGGTTCGGTAAAGGACTTAGCAGATAGAAGAAAATTAACAAATTAGTGTCTTATAATACCAACTCGCATAGACCAGATTACATTACAACATGCATTTTTATAAATCTGCTTCTTAGCGATCCATACATGAAAGTAAAGCATTTTGTTATGAAAAGGACTGAGTAGGCTAAGATTGTAAGTACTGTGGTAGCAAAACTTATTTCGCTCTTCACAGAGATACTACTAAAAGGAACAAAAGCAGTACAATGCAGAGACGAAAAAAGTTGAACAGGGGGAGTCGATAAAATTCTTGCTCCAAATCAAACTCACAATTAGTTGCATCCCTCCATAGGTGGTGTCGCCGCGATTCAGATAAAAAGGAACCTGGGACATGCTTTCCATCCCACCACCAACCAGAACCTAAATTCGCTTTAGCAAAAAAAATATTCCAAAAAAAATAATGGAGATTCTTTTCTCACTGCATTTCAAAGGACATTAGACTTTTTGTACACATAACACATTCACATACAAAGCAGGCATTTTTAGACGTTTGACTGGAGACCAAAACGATTCTATCATTAATTTTTTAAAACTCTTTTTTTACACCACCATATTTAGGTTGTTTTATACACCAGTCAAATACCACAACACTTTCAAATTGTCCCATCCCAGTGCGCCTGTAACGTAGGTGTATTGTTAGCAGCGAACGCAAAAAAATGTGAACACCATATGGGATAGCGAAATCCTCAATAACAGTATCATCACTATGGCAGGCGCTACATTCTCCAATGCTCAGCATATATGAGTAATGAAGCACCAGCGCGACTAATCTCTTATTTCAACAGTCATGTGATTTCTACAAAAAAGCACCTTA